AATAATAATAATAATAATAATAATAATAATAATAATAATAATAATAATAATAATAATAAACAATCTTTAAGGAGGAAGCGCCCGTCACGTAAATACGTGGTTTTCAGGGAGGTCCTCCGTAAAAATAAAAAGTATTAAAAGCTAAAATAAGAAATACAATTGTCACAGATCTAAAACGGCGTATATCTAAAGTTTTATCCATCATTTAAAATATTTATCCATTAAGAATCTTGTAAGGGTTTCCTTAAAAATTGTGCATGGCATTGGCCTTCTTAAAAATACTGGGAGGGACATCCAGTCATTTATAAAATGGAAGTAGGACACCCTCTTTCCGGATTCCGTTTTAGGTTTAGGCAGTCTAGGTAAGTAACCATTTCTAGTGTTGTAGCCATGCGAACTTCTTAATGTCGATTTAAAACTTTCAAAATGTTGCGGAATGTCTCCTTTGATTGCATTTTCTACGGTGGTACAACAATGAAATAGATGTCTTCCAGCCAGAGGGAGCCAATTCAGACACTCAGAGCTTCTGAACAAGACATCTTGCCTAGTTTAATTTTCTTTGCAAATTTGTTCTGAAAACTTTGCAATTTTTCCATATTTATCTTGATTGGTGTCTGTAGAAGTTACATGATCCTTACTTTCATATCAGTCTATACCTCTGTATCCACTGATCAAGTTTGATGTGGCTAAGATGAAAACACTGTCTCTTAATTGTAAAAATTAACTCTAGCTTTTTTGGTCATTGTCACAACATTTAAGGTAACTAGCACCAAGCCCTTAGATTATTAACATTTCTAAAAAGTTTGTTTTTCATAATTTATAGCTGGAGGAAGTTACCAAAAAGGCACTTGATGAGGGTATTAAGAAGTATTTTAAAGGTGGAGAAGAGAAAAAGGCAATAGACAATGTACAGGAGAAGGTAATTAGGTTGTTCTGTTGTGATAGAACTTGTGATTCAGTGACTCCATTTCAGACCACTCCAATCAGTGATCTGGTGAATATTTGTACTGTCCAGAGTTGGTTCATTGGATCAATGATCTGCAAACAGATTTGCTACAAAGAAATGCTATGCATTAGGAATCCTTATCCTACACAAGGTCATCACAAAGGAATGCACCCTTAGAAAATTGAAGCATCCTTTGCTAACCAAAAATTCTGAACTCCGTTTGATGCAGTATTGAATGAATCCAACCTGAGATATGACCATATGTAGCAATCAAATGTGCATAGAATATTATTAAAAGTTACTTTGCTTGAGATGGAAATGTTAGTATTTCTTATATGTAGTACATCAGGGGAATTGCAGTGTTGTAGGGATAAAATTAATATCTGGCCCCGGTTGTTCAAAGGATGGATAACGCTATACACTTGATAAATCTCTATCTGGTGGATAGCGCAGTATGTTTTGGTAACACTTATCGACTGGGTAGCAATTTGTCCGTTGGATAGCGTTATCCGCCCTTTGAACAACCGGAGCCTGAAAGTATATAGGAGTTCTTTACACAGACCAGTTTTTCTGTTGAAATTCCTTACACTCATAGGTCTTGACACTAACAGTAGCCTACTAGCCACTTGGCTAGTAAGTTGAAAAGTTAGTGTTGAGCCCTGACTCAACATCCATCCATGACACACTTAGTTGTGTATTAAGTGCCCTGTGATCTACATTGTATCGTAATTATTATGTGATGTATTATTAAGCACATTTTTTTTGTGTTTAAACGATTTATCAATGCATTCTAATTTATTTTGCCAAAATTTGAAGCAAGTTACTTGTAGCAGTGAGTAAATTCAGTGTAGCCAAAATCTGTTACTGTTAATGGAAAGAGCTTTAAATTAAGTTAATATAGTTTGTTTTTGGTTAAACAAATTTTCAATCTGTTCAGAGTTTTGTTTTATCTTTTAGGGAAGTTACTTGTATCAATGAGGAACTACAGCATAGCAAATCAGTAAATTGTTTTCTAGAATTGGTTAAGATACTAATCCAAAATTAGGAATTGTATAGAGAACAATGTAGAGAACATTCATATTCATTTGATGTCAGGGTGTTAAGCAGTAATTCACTTTCACTCTTTTCTCAACCACATAGTAAATTTTAAGGTTAAATAGAAGAGGACCTATACAATTACATAATTATACTCTTTAGAGATTGTCTCTAAGGTTATTAAGATTTTACTTTATGCTTTTTTCAACTGAGTTGTGTATTTCAAGAAGTTTATTTATTGTACTTAGCAATAGTTGTTTTGTTTTTCAGTTTGAATGTTGTGGTGTTGATGGTTATGAGGATTACCTTAATCAGAATACGACTGAACTCCCAGAATCATGCTGCAGGACACCAAAGTGTAATACCACTGTTGAAGCAATGAGAAGTCTAAATAATACAGAAATTTATACACAGGTAAGAAATATTTCAATTTAAAGTGTTTTTTTTTTTTTTAAATAGAAAAAAATGTATTAGGCACTCACCATAATAGTGTAATGCTGTTGTTATTATCATTTTTAATAAGGAAAAAGTTGATAATGTTACTGTCCAAAGATGTCATATAGAATAAATTGATGTTCTTGAAAGTGTTCCTTATCCCACCATGATGGGTCAAAAGTTAATTATGAAAAGGTTCACTTTCTGTACTTTATGAACAACCTTGCATAATTATCATTTTATCCAAGTTTATGTGTATCAAGTATTTGAAAATAATTTAATTTCTACTTATTGATTGAGCCAAATTGATTTATTAATGACTGACTGTGAATTTTAAACATAATTATAATTCTTGAAATATTAAATGAATTGAGTTGGATTGTGCAGCTCCAGAAAAATTTCCCTCCTTGGTTATGTTCTTCTGTACCAAAAAACAAAAATCATGAATTCAAGGAACTTCTGTGAGAGTTTGTTTTCATAAATTTTTAAGTTATAATTATTAGCTAAGATTCCTGATTTGTCTTTTTATTACTCATATCACTTCGACATTTTAACCTAGATACAAACACTTATCTACGGCAGAAATAAACATTTCTTTTTTTGTTTAAGGGATGCCTCAAAGGATTTGAAAAGTTTCTTCGTGAACACCTCCTGATTGTTGGTGGAGTTGGTATCGGTATTGCTTTTGTCCAGGTTGGTACTTAATTAAGAGTTTGAATTCTCAATGCCAACCAATCCCCTTTTTTGTGGGTTTTATTAACTTTAGGCTAAGGTAGAGTGGAGTCAATTCCAGGGCAGCCATGCATCCATGCATGGTTCTGTGGGACTCATATTTTCCAATCCACACATCGCCCTGTTTATGTAACATCCGTTTTTCAGCTCAAATGAGTAAATTTCACCTTAATAGAGACCTATCCAGTATGAAAGAAATCAAGTGGCTAATATATTCAATTCATTACTAAACACATCAGCAATATCTGGATTTGTTCATGCTACTCTGGATGGTAGAGCAGTACCTTACACTTAAATCCTTCCCTTTTAGAATGACTAATGTAAGAAACTTTTCCCCACCTTCATGTTATGACTGCACCTAAAAGTTACTTTTGCACTTTAAATGCCATTAGCTGGCCTGTAGAGTTATCAAAATTATGGAAACTTGGGTGCCATAATTATACCTTCCTTATCTTGATTTCTAGGCAAATTTCATTTGGATTTCCATCTTGTCCTAACACTACTTCAAAATCAATTATAACCAATGCTCTTGTCTTTCAGATGTGTCAGAGCTCCAATTTTTGACTCTTAGATATTTTTTTTTCCTCAGTTGATTGGCATTGTTTTTGCTTGCTGCCTTATGCGATCCATCAAGCAGGAGTATGAAGTAGTGTAATGTCACACTTGCTAGCCAATCAGCAGTGCAGCTAGCAAATCATTAGACATACATTCAGCTCTAGTGTAACCCAAGTGTAGTGTAGTAGATTGTAGCCTGCTGTTTTATGTTAATGTTGGGTCAGTTAGAAGATTGTATTTGTGAAGGTGCAATTAACTAAATGGGAAAATTTGCCATTTCTATTGTATTGCCATGCAGCCTTTAAAATGTAATTAACAGCTGAGGTGTGCTTGTTTTTTGTTTCTTTTTTCAGCATTTTCCCTAACTTATTCTTACAACCTTAATTATCAACAATTGCATTTTCTGTAACCACATGATAGCGACTTGTAGAAGTACTTATCTTTTAAATCCAAGCCAAGCTGATAATTTTACCCAATGTGTATTTAGACAAAATCTGTATTAGATTGTAATATGGACATGAGTCATTAAATTTGTTGAGTATTTGTTGTACAATACCTTTTGTATCCACTGCTACTGAGTTTTCCAATGGGCGAATATACTCCGTTTTATCATAAAAAGTGACATACTTTTTCCTGCCTCACAGGTCAGCCCAAGAAAGAAGGGTAGGTTAGGATAAGTGAATAGAGGCAGCCTTAAATTGGTATCCAGTTAAAATGTATAGGGCACTTAATTCCTAGATTTGTAGCCAGTGAGAAGGTTCCAGGAGGCATTGTGGCAAGAGCAGCCACACAGTAAGAAACAAGGTAGACAGATGAGATATATATGAGTTTCTCTTCGGCTACTTCGTGGCTGGTAGTGCAATGCCAATCTCATTTTAAAAAGGAGAAAATGGGAAAAATGGAAAAAGTATCCCATGATGAAGCCAATATATTTGTACAGGAAGCTAAAAGTTATGCATTGCCTGTTCAAACCTCTGCTAGGGAGTTTTGAAAACCAAGTGTCTCAAAGCACAGCCACAGGTAGTGTCATGTGGATGACACTAAATTGTTTCTAAATTTTAATTTGCAAAATCAGTCAAATGCAACTGTAGAACTAAATGAAGATTTATGCATAACTAGTCATTGGACCCTCGGAAATCAACTCTTTATGAACCCCAATCAAACTAAACATTTTTGTCAGTAGAGCTATGATCTCCAAAATGAAAGATTATTGCTTGACATTCCCTGGACAAGGAGTTACAACTCTTGGTATCAGCAAAGGATCTAGGAGTTCTTTAACACCTTATTCTGACACATAATAATTATATTGCCTTTACTGTGTCTAACTGCATGGCCCAGTTAATTATGGGAATGATAAATCAAGTAAACATACGTCTTAAACTAGGAAAATCTGACAATCCCAATCAACTCCCTGGTCTTTATCAAACTATTCTACTGTAACAGTTCAAACTTTGAGCAAAACTACTGAGTCCTACTTGAACATCAGAATTTTTGCATGCCACATCATTTAGCAATAAAAGAAATTATTACATGAATCGGGCAGTCAGAGGGCCAATAACTAAAATCAACCAATCAAAATGCTCTATTGCCGGTCAATATTCTCTCAGTATTGGACCGGGCACTGTCCCGAATGGTCCCGAGCTTGTGTCCTTTTGAACTTCAGTTGTATAATAAATATCTTATTAACCAGGCTCGCTCGGGGCCATACTGGAAGAATATAGGCCCTTGGTCTTTTTTGTCCGGACCCCACTGCGCTCGGTCCGTACTGTCATGACCTCAGGCCAATATTCTCCCAGTATGGCCCTCGCGCTTGGTTAATAAGATATATACGTGATCGTGTTTCCCCCATCCTTAAGTATCTAAAGTGGCTACCAGTTGGGCAGAAATTATACTACCACCAGGCAATGATGGCCTTTCAATGTTTAACTGGAAGTGCACTAGAGACCCTGATCTCCAAACATATCCAGAGAGCTGAAATTACTTATTGATCCACATGGAATATCAGGATGCTTCACACTCCCCTGTACAGAATTAACCACCACAGGACAAAGAACATTTTAAGAAGCATCAAACTTTAGAATTACTAAGGCCTTGCAATGCAAGTCAAAGGGGACATTGAAATATTTCAAACAATTCATAAAGAATTATTGTTTTCAACCTGAGAGGTCATTTAATTTTCTTATTTCACCTTCATTTGTAAGGATGTGTATCCTAATCACAAAAAAGGACCTTTATTCTGAAAACCCCTTTTGGAGTGATAAAAGTATGTCTGTGCAACATGTATGTAAGTTGATTACAATTGTGCTTCATTTGTAATATCCTCACATGAATATTGACCAAAATGTGAAATATTTGTTAAGCTATGGTTATACCTCAATATTTGGCTTTGCAAAAAGGTTATTAAGTTAACCCTACACAGAGGTATTTCAATTAATAATATGCAAAAAAGTGATGCAAGTATTCTTTATCTTAAAGCAATCAGAAATAATTATGGTCCCCAGGCTCCACTCAGAATTCAAAATTCCCTCAAAACATAACTAAATTTAAAGCTTCATTGCTTTTATCTCTGGAATAACAACAACAAAAAATTAATATCTACAAAGTTACTAACTGAAATTGGTGGATTGAAACTGAAAAAAAAACCCTGTGGTTTGTGATGAATAGTCATAATACTGTTCAGTGTATGTTTACCATCATGAAGAAAAAAGAATGGGTTAGAACTCCCTTGAAGTCCTGCACATTAACATAGCTTTCTCATCGTGTAACAAAGTCAAACCCCTTTCAATTAGCAGTATTGTCAAAAATTGGTAAGTTATTTTTACAATTAATACTATCTGGTCCCATCAACTAATTGTGGACAAAAAGCACTAACTACAGGCTTGCATTGCATGATCTTTGTCACGAGTGTCAGCATGGTTAATTGAATAGTGGTCAGCCATGGCTGGTATCCTAGCCTCCCCTGGAATATCCACAGGCACTGGCACATCTTTGTAAGGAGTGTTCCATGACTGCAGCTCACCACTTCCAAAGAGTAAATAAATAAACCAACCAAAAACAAACACTCCAGCTGATATGTAAAATACTTTCTGCCACTGTGCTCTTGTTGGCTAAGAAACAAAACAGCAACAAAAGATCTTAGTGCAGTGATCCCAGCTCGCAAATATAGGGCCACAGAAGTAAGTATAGAGAGAGAGGGGACCTGGTAACTTTTTTCAATTTTTGCTAACAACTTCATTCCTACCCCACACCCAGCAGTTTGATTCATAGATGTTTTTGGCAGGAAGGCGACTGGTTTTCGCAAATGGGCAAAACATTTTGAACTGAACTTTTTTTATTGGATAAACTTTCATCAACTAGTAGATGGTCAAACCAGGTGGGCAAAACCTTCCTCACAACCAACCAATTTTCCCAGTGCCTGGCCGTTAATGAAAACCCTGCACACCACCTTTATTTGGCAATTTCCAATTCTAGTCAAGGTCCAAGTCCAGACTTTGGCAAGGATCAGTTTGCAAATCACTTTCTCATATACAAAGTTCCTACTTTATAAAGTCCAGCAAGTGTTTTAAAAACATGCGACAAACTTAATGCCCAAGTGTTTTAAAATCATGTGACAAAGACAATGCCCAAGTTTGGTAATTTAAAAGATCGCAGGGCATCACAGCCAGAATGACACTCGATCTATACAGCAGCTAGTGTGCATCATCCCAGAACTCTCTATTTCTCCTTGTGTGACAGTTTTACAATATTCAAGTCATCAAGATCAATAATTGTTTTTCAGGATAGGCATAGACGAGGTAGGAGGTAGAGCCGGGGCAAAGAAACACTGCCCTTTCCAACAAATACAACTAAAAATCAAATACACATTGGCAGGATGGGAAATAACAGCAACCACCAAAATGCTCTGTAATGCTTGTGATTTCTTTTTTTTTTTTTGTTTTTTTATTTTTTTACTGTTTGCCAGCAGGTTAATTACATTTAATTTGTAGGAAAGGGCAGTGCTTCATTGCTTTCCAATGCACACTTATCTCCAACCAGATTTATAACAATGGGCCATTCAGCAGAAAAAACAGCAGAATGACACTCAAACAAGAAGAGATGTGGGTCACTAATACAATGCCTCATGCTCAAGACATAACTCTTGGGGAGTGGGTTGAAGGAGGGAGTCCACTACTAGGTGTATTACAAGGAGAATTCACCTGCTGAGGAGCTCCAAATACTTAAAGATTGTAACCAAAAGGACTTTTGGCCCAGCCCACACCAAGTGCAAACAGCTACCATAGACATATAAACATAATTACACCAAATAAACTCACCATAAATAAACAACATTTATTTACCTAAATAAATGTTATGGTAAATAAACAACATTTATTTACCTGATTGTTTGTAAGATATCCTACGACATAGGGTCCAACAATACCAGGAATTGTACCAAATGCGTTGGTTATCCCTACCAGAATACCAGCAAATCTGGGTGAAATATCCAAGTGGTTGACAGAATAAGAGGTTGAGTTGAAAGATTGTACTCCTAATGCAATTGTAAAGAGTACAACAGCAAGGCTGGTGTTATCACATCCAACATAGCTTGTGGACACCAAAAGAAATGCTGGAATCAGGAAACCTGTGGATAGTGACATGTCATACTTTTTTAAGGTGGTTTTCAAGATTTATCGATAGGCAACATAACACTGGTACATTATGAATACATTTAGTGCAATTCCATCTGTTTTTGTTGATTTCATAGTTTGCGATAATTAAAATATGTAGGGATAGACATAGAATGCAAAGTTTTAAATGAGGTGAAACCAACTGCCACTTTTAACTTACCAGCACTGCAAAATACTTTCCTGGCTTCTCCAGTTGTTAATATCCTGTTGTAACGTAGCCAATCTGCAAGTTGGCCACCGCCTACAGTACCTATGAAACTCAGTATGTATGGAAGAGCAGACACAAAGCCATTCTGAAACAAAAATGTCTCATCTGTTTCGTAGTCTGAACAAAATATGGGCTCAACTCTTTACATCATGATATCAGTATGCCAGCCCTATACATTAATTCCTTTGGGTGAGAACTTGGGAATCAAACCTAAACCTATGCATGCCAACAAAAGAGGAAGCTTAAAGGTTAGAGTTCTCATCACTGCAGTATCCCCTGCTCCCACCATAAGCTGAGGAGTGGAACTATCCATGCTCTAGGGGACAAGTACAATCCATTCTAACTTGTAGTTCATCTTATAATTAATTTTTTTTTTAAAAAAAAGCACAGCACAGCCCTTCACCCCACACACCTGTAATTGGTAGAGATGTACACCTCTCTAGATCAAACATGTATGCGTGTGTTGGACCCTGGGACTCAGACCAACCAGCCCCTTGTTAGGCAGGTTTTTGTCTTGCAAAAATTCTTCAGATGAGCTGTAAATCTGCATCTCTTTTCTCAACAGAGCTAACACATGTTTGATCTACAGATTTCCATGTAAAGTGGAGAGATTGCATGTATACAATATACTCTAACTGCCTCCTCCCTAATTATACCTCCATATACCCTCTTTTGGCGGCTCAAAACAGTTAGTACTTAACTTAATTAAATAATTCCTTTTTTTACGACTAATTGTTTGATGTGCAGATGCTTCCCCTTTTTATCCTTTCCTTCTCTATTGCTCAGAAACTTTGATTATGGGAGTTTTAAGACACCCACAACTTGGTTTTGCTAGAGTAATATGGTGACCAATTGAGATCCTGCATACAGGAAATGGCATAGTTGTCTTATTGCACCGAATAAAGAGTTCCATTTCTGGTTGTTATCATTCATCAAATTTTTTAAAACCTCCTTAAACTTCACTAGTCCACAACTTGTGATTGCAATAAATCAAACCAATTGAAATAAATTTCTCACCTAATTTCTGAATGATAGAGAATATTTACCTCAGTAATTGAAAAATCCAGAACTTCTTTTAGATAAGATGGTAAACCAGTGAGAAAAGTGTAGAAGCCCCAGTTGTCACAAAAGTTTGCAACAACAATGGCCCAGACAGCTGGTGAGCTACAAATCCTCAACCAAGGAGTTTTATATTTCTGAAAGAAAATATTGAAAGAACAGGCTGAATAATTTTTGGTGATTTTGCATCCCACATCCCCAAGTCCCAGCGTCCCCAAATCCTTGGGTCCCATGTCCTACGTCCCAGTCCCACATTCCAGTCCCACTTTTAGTCACAGCTGAGTCAAGTCAAGTCAAGTCAATTTTTATTTAAACTCACCTAGAATAATAATTAAATAAATACAAATTAGTGTTCTAAATATAAAAAATCAAGAGATTGTGAAGGAAAAGAAATTTTCAATTGTAGGTTCATTGCATGTGCAGAGTTTGAGACACCCCGTACCTAAATAGTTCGTGGAACTAACCGAGTAGGTGACCCAAAACAAGAATATGAGTGGAAGCAATATAGATACAAAATAGTTTTTTTAGATAAAAAGTATTACTTCATCAGTTAAATAGTAGTTAAAGATAATATGATTGTAAAACATTAGGAATCACTAATAATAGTATTGTAGCCATTAATCACAGAATTCTTGATATTGTGTCGAAAAAAACTGGAAAATGGCTTGATTTTCTAACATCAATAGATAAAGAATTCCAAAGTTTTGGACCAGTGTAACGGAGATGCCGTATTGAGTGGTATAAACAGATTTAAAAAATGAAAGAATTGGGGGACATTAGGGATGCAGTTTTGCAAGATCCTAAGGTGGTTAAGCTGGTGTTAAGGGTTTACTTGGTATGTTCCTCCTTACATTATAATGTGAAAAATAATCTCTCAGAGGCTGAATCAGTTATCATAGAATTCCTTAGTGCAATGTTTTACAATTGAAACCAATTCAGTTTTCATTTTCTTAAAACTAGATTTTCTTGTGACAATTATTATACCCTGGGGAAAAAAAGGAAATATAAACATCAAACTTATTGGGAGAATTTAAACCAAGAAAACTTTGGGGAAAAAATATGCATTTTAGGAAGAAATTTAAACAATTTCAGTAACTCCTGAAAACATGCATGATGTTACTCCTTCATTTTACCAGGCCCCATATGGTTGCCCACCAAATACTTATGATGATGTAAGCATCACACAAAATAAAACACACAAAAACAGTAATTTTTAGTTAACTCATTTTTAACCCTTACCCTTGTTTGGGCATCCTCCCCAGACCCTATACTTGACTGTATGTACTCTTTTTCCTTGGCTGATATTCTGGGGTGGTTTTCAGGTCTGTCATGAGTTAACAGTAGCCACACAATAGCCCATAAAATACCAATGGCACCTAAACATGAAATGAAAACAATTTACTTCATTACCAATGTTTCTGTTATCTAAGATGCCATAAAATTCATCTAAGCACTTCCATTAAAAAACTATGATGAGGACATTAAGGAAGACATCTTGTAACAGCCTCACAATTCAACCTTTTAACTCCCAAGAGTGACTGAGACTGAATTTCTCCTAACAATATCAATAATTTAAACATCAAATAGACAAGTGATAAGAATATAGAAAAAAATATCAATTAGAGGATTACAAGTTGATCAGATACCGAATTCTCCAAACTAACATAATAAGAATGGTATTGGCAGGCAGTGAGAAGAATTACTAATTTTATCTTGGGAGTTAAATTGGTAAAAGCAGTTACAGCCAATAGCCTGCAGTTAACCCCACAGCCCAATATAGCCTGGTAGTCTGAAGTCCAATTCAGTGCTGGGGCCCGTTACTCAAAGGTCCCGGTAACTTAACAGACCCGTAAAGCTGTTATGCTTTCTTTTAAGATGGGGATTTCAAAAGTTTTGAAAATGATACCATAAAACTATCAGTTAAAGAAACAAAAAGGACTTGTTTTGGGTGCCAGAACCTGCTTCCCTAATTCCTTTAAATTTCGATTTTAAAACATGGCTTCGGGTCCGTTAAGTTACCGGGACTTTCGAGAAACGGGCCCCAGGCCCCATGGACCAGCATTCCAACCTTGTGGCTGATGACTGACGGTTGAGAAAAAGGCTTAAAGCTCTATACCCACACAGATGTAATTCTTAAACAAGTAAAAAAGTAATTAATAACCACCCCTTATTTTTTATATAAATAAATCAATCCTTCTTGAAATAAGTACCTGTTTATCAGATATATTTGAAAGGTATAATCATAAACAGAGAATGTTGGCAGTGTGGTCATACAATCACATAACATGGAATGGAGAAGTAACTTATTTAATTCCAGCTTCTTTACATTAAATTTTTATGTTGACTCACCAAAGATATAAAATACTGATGGCCATCCTCCCCAGAGATTTGATGCACACAATAACCCAGATATTGGCATTGCAAGTATTGTACCTAGGCTAAGGCCTGGATCAAACGATAAGTATTGAAATTATATTGAATATATTAATTTGTTCCAACTAAACTTTAATTCAGTAAAACACCTGGAGGCACCAACATACATGTTGGATGCATTGTGTTACAGTCACTCTGGTTTTACATGGAAAATAACAAATTTTATGCTGACTCTTCAAGCTACAGGTCTGGAACAAAATCCCAAAAATAAAGAGAAGAAAAAGAAAGTTAACAACTTGATAACCCCAGCCAAGAGGGCTTAATTCCAGTGAAAAACAGGAGTATTTGGCTCACAATCAAGTGGCTAGTTTCCATATTTAACTATGACGGCACTCTGGCAAATTTTTTTTTTCATGGTCTACCACAGGCATTCCAGGGCGACCCTAAAAGCCAGAACGGTGGAACAATGGAATGGTGGAATAGCGAAATGGCGGAAAATGACCCCAAATCCTAAAACATGGAATGGCAGAAAATGACGACCCCAAATCCTAAAACATGGAACAGCAGAAAATGACCCCAAATCCTAAAACACGGGACAGCAGAAAATGACCCCAAATTCTAAAACATGGAACAGATGTCAGGGCATGTTGCACGAATTACGTAAGAAGACACTCAAGCAATTGGCTAATTCATCCCCACAAAGATAACGCACATGACTAAAATTAAGTGTTATTAATTTTTTTTTCTTTTACCGAGTGGTATGAATAATAATGAACATTATACATGAAAGAGAACCACGTTTTCATGTTGTAAACCTGTTTAGTTACCTTTTGTTATGCTAAATTTGCCATGAGTTTTAGTCGCGGCATAAAAAGTTGCACGGGAAATCTAACTTGACATACCACATTAAAATAAACAATTGTAACATATGTTTCCTGGTCATGTCTGCATTGATTTAATGAGACAATAACATCTCGTATGCTTGTAAGTGTGAGAACATCACAGAAACGTTTTTCAGGCTTCTCAAAATATAACAACATTCAGCCTCAGCTCCAAACTTAGACTAGTGTGAGAGCCAGCCCCTGTTACCAGCGCTTCAATACAAGTGTTTCTTCATCCACGAATAAGTTTTGGGCCTTGAGTAACACTAGGTGAAGAGAGGTTTGCATGGGGTCATGCGTGTGGGAATTTCTCATGGCATGAAAAGACAAAAGAAAGATAGCAGAAGGGAGCTGTCAAGAAGAATTTAAAGAATTTCTTCATGACCAGGTGTCCAAAACACCACCATCCTACTATGAAGTTTACGGATTATATATCAGCAGAAGAAATACATTCTCTGGACAAAAAAGAGGCTATTTTTAATTACCAAATGAATTCGTTTGATGGATTTCTTCTGTTCCTCAACAAGTTGCAAATCATCAACTCTATGGCGTTCAAATTGCCCTTCCTGAAAGGGAAGTGTAATTCTTTGTCTGTGTTTTAAGATTTGGGGTCATTTTCCACCATTTCAATTTGTTTTAGGATTTGGGGTCATTTTCCACCATTCCATGTTTTAGGATTTGGGGTCATTTTCCACCATTCCATGTTTTAGGATTTGGGGTCATTTTCCGCCATTCCATGTTTTAGGATTTCAGGTCATTTTCCGCCATCCCACCTTTCCACCATTCCAGCTTTTAGGGTCACCTGGCATTCCACTTAAAATGGGAGAGATCAATGGCTGTATATAGCTACCCTATATACAGTTCATGGTTTATTAATGAACCATGAACAAAAGAAGCATCTCATTTACATCAATCTGAAAATATAAACTTATTGAAAGAGTTTTCCTTTATCTTTGTGACCGTGGTGTAAAAGATTTTGAAAGTTATATTTCACTGAGAGGAAAAATGATTTTTATACTGCAAAGTAAAAAGAGCTGGCCACAAAATTCAAAATTCAAATTAGCCCTTTAACCCCTCGGAGTGATTGGTTTAATTAACAAATGGTAAACACCACAGCGTACACTATTGAGTTATGAATGCACGTGGGAGGTTACTAAGCACGAAAAAAGCGTAAGAGTCGCTCGAGGCGATAGCCGAGAGCGACTCTAGCTTCTTGAGTGCTTAGCAAACCTCCCAAGTGCATCCATAACTCAGTAGTGTACAGTGTGGTGTTTACCATTTGTTTTATAACATAACATTGATACATTGTAGCTAAAGAGTTCCCTTTTATTTAACAAATCATACACGACCAGAAAAAACAAGTGCACACAGAAAAGTAGTCTTTGCATTTGCTCACGTCAGCAGCGTACACCCATGGGCAAATGGGAGACGCTAAATTGACCAATCAGAGTGCGCGCTTTACTTTGATTATGTTATAATTCTATTTTTTCTCCTTACCATGTTGCCCCTGAATTAAACATTAACATCACCAGAATAAAAGAGATGATCATCAACTAAATAAGCTCTTGCAGGTTAAACACATTTTCCTTGTTCTGTAGCATGCACCTTATGTTCTGCATAGAGATCAGTATAGAGAATATGGAAAATGATGTTAAGGTGTAAAGGGTATAAAAAACAACAATTTGGATTTGTTTTGTTGGAAACCATTCGACAGAAAATGTAATTTCTGATCTGACGTTTGAGTGACATAGGAACAAATTAGTCAGAAATTAATGTTCTGATGGTACGTTGAAGAGGTTCGTGTGGAATCATGGTAGTTTCAGATTATTTATAAGCCTTTTACAGGAAAATCAAGTCATTCTAGGTCGGTCAGGTTTGACCACTTTCCTTTTTTCTTATTTACTGTTATTTTGTTTTACACTCTCTGTAAAATATCACAACTTTCATTGAATTTTCTGTGTGATTAGTAGTGTGACTAGGTTAGTTACAGGTTTCCACTGGGTATCATGCTGCTGCATTAGATGAGGAATACGTCTCCACAAATCTTTTGGCTACTTCTAAAGAGCACTTTTTGGTGGTTTTTCATATCTGGAGTAGCACAGGCTATTTTGTAGAACCCTTCAGTTTCAGTGAATACTTGCAATGCATTGCAGATTGTATATAGGATGTGTATACTACAAGTACAATGCACACACTACAAGACTGGCAGCGGCTCATCCTAAATAAACTTTCACATTGAATATCTCGCCTGAGTGTAGTCAGAATTTGTCTCGTTAGTAACGAGCAGAAAACGTGCAACAGCTTTGTTTCACAATCATAACTACATGTTTCATTAGACCTTTAGTTTGATCATAAGAGAGACTTCATTAGAACAAAACTCCACATTAAACTTAAGTTTTTCCTGACTTCCCTCAAGGAGACTCTACATTTAAAGCAGCTATTACCTGAGGAAGAAATGGTGGCCAATTTGCTTCTCTCTAAAGGCGGAGCCCAACAACCCCACATGGCTTGAATGGCTGGAAATGTCACACCCTACAATAAAAATCAACATGTTTACAATGTACACAGCTTAATATTTATTTTTCATAATGAATCATTTAGGGAAGCGATATATATATATATATAATTTTTTACAACCAAAACTCTATGTAAGAGAATGCAGAAGAGTCAGATAACGTTATCAGGCTATCACATTTTTTACTCAGTTTCACAAAGCAAACAATCTGCTGTTTGAACAGAGTTTCTAATCAATATCAAACCCAACTGTTTAAAGGATTACCAGGACAGATTAATTCTGTTGATGGGACCCTATTAGGGGGGGATCTGAGTATCCCATATCCTTTTAATCTTTGACCAAAATATCGCCATATCCTATTAATTCCTGTAGTTTGTATCCCAGCCTATAATTCCAGTTTGATTTCTCGGAATCCCTGTTTTAAATATTCTGTATGCACCAATTTTTTTCTTCAAGTATCCTGCATCCTTACAATTTTTAATCCAAATATCCCATAATTGCCAATGGAGGCTCATGGATCTGTAGTGAGCAACCATCCTCTCCCTCAATTGTTGTGCCAATTTTCATTTTTTTTTTTTTTTTTCATTTCTCCCATATAGCTAGTGCTTTAAAGAAGGGCTCAGCTGAGTGAATAATGTTAAAAAATTCATAATTCATAACAAAGATGCAATTCATTCAGGCTGTTGGAGAGACCAGTGTATTTCATATTATACCTGTCCAAGACCTTCCACCACTCTGACCAAAATTAACATTGCAACACTATGATAAGCAGCCGCTGGAGTAAACATTGCTGCCACTGATGTCAAAAGGACTCCACAGCCATACACATACTTCCCACCATAACGGGATGCTAACCAACCTCCTGGAAGTTGTGTGACTATGTAACCATAAAAGAATGCACCGAGGATAAGCCCTGAAAAAGAAAAAAAAATAAATCAACCCCATGATTTAAGAAATCCAGATGGGTATGTTTAGCCTGCTTCTTGAAACTATCAGGAATAAAATAAATGATTTCCCATCATAGTTTACCTGAGTGGATATAACATCCACAGTGTATAGTTAACAACTATTCACCCATTAAGTGGTGGTGGCTTAAGCGGTGGATATTTACAGAGCTGTAAAGCAGTGAGGGAACAATTAATATCCACTGCAAGACACCCAACACTGACAGAGGTGAATAGCTGTTTTGTATACACTAAAACCGTGAGATAAAAGATCACAAAAGGATTCTTTTTAACTCATTCATTTCTGCAACAATTTATTACAATATTTTCAGGCATAAGTTCCATACATGATGTTTGGAGGGAAATGTCAAAAGGGTAATTAGAGTTTGAGTAGTCAATTAGGGACTGCATCTTTTCAATGCTATCCACCATTTTAGTATACACATGTACTGACAAGAATTATCCAATTTTAGAACAACTTACAGTTGACTTCGCCACCCATCCAAAGCAAAGGGTGACAAAACACAGAATTTGTATATTTAATATATAACCATTGCAATGGATAGTGCTCCAGGTTGGGGAATGGGTAAACAAACCAAGGATTTCATTCATGGCAAACCTATTGTTTTTACTTAAGACAAAGGTTTACATGCCTTGGGTAAAGATATAGATCATGTATTTGGAAGAACTGACCATACAGATCCAAGGTCTTGAAGATGCTGATGATGATAATGATAATTACCAGTATTAGCTTAACAGGAAAATGTTACAATCTGGATATACCTTGTGTCTCTTGATCCCACTTAAATTCTCCAACCTGCAAGACAAATTTTGATTTTGAAACATCCAATGTATTTCAGGCAACATACTACTCTTTAATAAATAATATATCTCTCCGCCAATTTACTGTTAAGCAATAAAGGAATTTTTTTGTGTATAATTTTATAGCCTCATCTAAACACTCAGGATAGTGGGAGAGTTCAAAAATGTTACGCAGCCCAGACTGGCAGTACAGGGTTTGGGTAAAACTGAAACCCCTGGAATGATCAGATTATTGAAAAAAGTCCTCTATACTTTTATAAAATATTCCGAAAGCATGAGTCATCACATTACCACGTTCACCTACTCTCATCTAAACACACTTGGGGGAGGGGGGAGGGAGGATGGCACAGTGGTGAGAGCCCTTGCTTCCCCCCACTGTGGCTCAGGTTTGATTCCTGGTGCTGATGTTACGAAGTCACCAAATTAAACAAAACCCACACATTCAAATATTTTATTCTTTGTTCTTCAGTCAACCGAAATTCAAATTGCAACTGAAAAAGTCATATCTTAATTCCATGTTCTTCAAGTGTAATTCAATTTGGATATCACTGCGCATTTCAACTTCACAGGCAAGTGAGCTAACAAATTCAAATATGTAATCTTCGTTCTTAAATTGAACCAACATCGGAGAGCGGGACTGCGGGAGCTCTGGTGTCTGAACAGTTTTTGTGCGTGCTTTTGCTGATGCAATTCAGCACATGCACAAGGATTGCAAAAAACAAACATGTGGTCAATAGAGCGATCATTTTATTTACTCAACACATATCCGCACTATCTGTGCTATTTTCTCTATAGTTGGTGCAGTGTATTGAGGGCTTTAATCTTTTGTGACAAAGACATGTAAGAAAAGTTAACAGTGCAAAGAACCCAGAAATCCTCGGCTTTTTCATCGTTACCGAGAGAACCCAATTAAATGCAGCGCATGCATTGTAAGTAAAAAATTGTGATTGAATGGAAAATTGCTTTCTCAGAAATATGCCTATTTCTTGTGAACCACTCATTAGAATTCTGCAAAATTTGGCACGAAAATACTTTAGGAAATAAGTAACTGGAGCATTGAAAAAATTGATTATTAACAAAGGAAACTCTAGATAATCGAGTGAACCTTCAACAAGGAATAATTAAAGATCTCTCTGTTAAATTGTCAGCAAAATGGTGTTAACTTGTAATGTTAGAAGCTCGTCGCATGCATATTATAAAGAAAATCTAGTGACTAGATTTTCTACAAATAAACAAAACCAATTTTAAAGGCCTGTTTATATTTATTCATGTTGCCATGGCAATGGCACATATGTCAGCTTAACCGAGAGATCAAGGGTGTTAGAGAAAATGGTGAAAGAAACACAGGTATCAAAAACTGTGTTCAGCCACCTGAACTGCCCTATCTTTTAATTATTCTTTGACATCAGGAGCACGGGACTACGGGACTGCGGGAGCACTAGTTTAACTGACCCATCCTTTAACAGAGCGGGAGTGAGGGAGCACTAGTTTAACTGACCCATCCTTTAATTATTCTTTGACATCGGGAGAGCGGGACTGCGGGAGCACTAGTTTAACTGACCCATCTTTTAATTATTCTTTGACATCGGGAGCGCGGAACCGAGGGAGCACTATAGTTTTGCTGACCTCTCATCTAATTATTCTTCGGCTCCGGGAGCACGGGACTGCGGGAGCATAGTTTAACTGACCTCTCTTTTAATTATTTTTTACTTCGGGAGCACGAGAGCAATCGATTTGTTAAAGTTCAATAGTGGTATTCCGAAGTTGCTCCGTTGAGTTTCGTTTTTGGTTCTCCTCTTTTTCTCTAGGTCCTCTGGTTTTCTTGCCTCCACAAAAACCAACATTTTAAATTTCACTTTGAACCGAAAGTGGTGGTGGACAAGAAGAGCCACCTTATGAAATGTCCGATGCTAAATCCCATTCTTATTATCATAAAAATGTTTTCTCCCTTTAAGGATTGCACTATCTCACAAGAATTATTTAATCGCTCAAGGGCCGATTTCAACGGTTACTGCTGGTCAGTAAAGTGAACGCTTTCAATACTGTTTGTTCGAAACAAAGTCTAAGGTACAAGGACATAAAAGCTTACTCTGTACCTTAACTCGAGTCACGTTTGCGAAATTTCCTCGACATTCGGGGTTGTTTGCGGTAGCTTTTGCATCTGCATAAGTTGAGTTAACCATTGCAACCAGTGCCACACTCAAATTCACCCTCAGAAGATACACAACACAAAAACCAGAGCAAGACAACACGGCAAGCACGTACCGGCAAGGCAAATAAAATCCTTCAGAATCACGGCGAGAAGACCTGTGGCAGTAGTTGTCCAGAGAGGAAATTGTAGGAGGTGAGTCGTCGGCCATTAGAAAACGTAAGCATGTGTAATATCTGAACTAGAAACTGCTTGAATTTCCGTTTCCCTCAGGCTTGCATTTCAGAACGCATTTGACAGTAACTCGTGACCTGCACGTCACGGTCAGAGAAATGTAAACAGTCGTGCGTGACATATCCGGCGCCAGGTATGGCTACTGTGTGGTATCTTTTAAGGTGCATGAAATTGATAAGATTGACTTTAAATAAATTGAATTTTGACAGTGGCACACGCACGGTACTGCTCTTTTACCCGTTAGTTGAGTTTTTTCCTTCAGGTTTATTTTGATAAAGAACTGCTCATTATTTGTCTTCTGCGAAGGAAGGGTAAGGTGTGGCCCGGAGGATTCTGATTATCAACCTGATCCCCCAAAGAGGACTTAAACAAATAGCGAACAATTCATTGGTATAGCTTATTTACCCACCTCACCGCTTGAGGCTTGTGATGGTGAGAAAACTTATACTCCCCTTTAATTCAATGACGTTGGAACTGGGGCTCACTTTTGAAAAGAAAATTACGATTTTATGAGCAATTCTTTAGCCCAGAACAACAGAGCTTTGCTGACTCACTAGTAACTAGTGACTAATTCCGCCGAAAATTTAAAGAGAGCGATCGCCGAAGCTGCTAACAAACAACTGAGACGAGAAGTCAAGAAGAGAAGAACCGAAGTCCTTTAAGCGCAGAGGAAGCGAAATTTCCGAATACAAGTTCAACTCTTCCCATGTTCAAATCTGGTGATCTAGAAAGAAAAGAAAATTATAGGCCTATCTCCATTCTTCCAGCCTTCTCTAAGCTTTATGAAAGAGTAGTTTATAATCGTATTTATAAATATCTAACGGACTTCAATCGTTTGGGCGATAACCAGTTTGGTTTTCGCAAACATCACTCCACCTCTATGACCTTAATTCAATTGGTAAATAACATCGCTTCTTCAAAAGACAACAAAGAAACAACTATATGAGAACGATCCTTCGCAGTAAAGCACTATTTGAGCAATAGTGTAAATCAGACCTGAAAAAAATTTCAGGCCTGTACGGGATTCGAACCACTGACCTCTGCGATACTAGTGCAGCGCTCTACCAATTGAGCTAACAAGCCAACTGGGAGCAGGCCATCAAATTAATTCGATATAAACCCGTAGATGATAAATCAAACAACAACAAACATATGAAACATATGTGTGAACTGCGGTTATGAGACGTATATGAGAACGATCCTTCGCAGTAAAGCACTATTTGAGCAATAGTGAAAATCAGACCTGAAAAAAATTTCAGGCCTGTACGGGATTCGAACCACTGACCTCTGCGATACTAGTGCAGCGCTCTACCAATTGAGCTAACAAGCCAACTGGGAGCAGGCCATCAAATTAATTCGATATAAACCCGTAGATGATAAATCAAACAACAACAAACATATGAAACATATGTGTGAACTGCGGTTATGAGACGTATATGAGAACGATCCTTCGCAGTAAAGCACTATTTGAGCAATAGTGAAAATCAGACCTGAAAAAAATTTCAGGCCTGTACGGGATTCGAACCACTGACCTCTGCGATACTAGTGCAGCGCTCTACCAATTGAGCTAACAAGCCAACTGGGAGCAGGCCATCAAATTAATTCGATATAAACCCGTAGATGATAAATCAAACAACAACAAACATATGAAACATATGTGTGAACTGCGGTTATGAGACGTATATGAGAACGATCCTTCGCAGTAAAGCACTATTTGAGCAATAGTGAAAATCAGACCTGAAAAAAATTTCAGGCCTGTACGGGATTCGAACCACTGACCTCTGCGATACTAGTGCAGCGCTCTACCAATTGAGCTAACAAGCCAACTGGGAGCAGGCCATCAAATTAATTCGATATAAACCCGTAGATGATAAATCAAACAACAACAAACATATGAAACATATGTGTGAACTGCGGTTATGAGACGTATATGAGAACGATCCTTCGCAGTAAAGCACTATTTGAGCAATAGTGAAAATCAGACCTGAAAAAAATTTCAGGCCTGTACGGGATTCGAACCACTGACCTCTGCGATACTAGTGCAGCGCTCTACCAATTGAGCTAACAAGCCAACTGGGAGCAGGCCATCAAATTAATTCGATATAAACCCGTAGATGATAAATCAAACAACAACAAACATATGAAACATATGTGTGAACTGCGGTTATGAGACGTATATGAGAACGATCCTTCGCAGTAAAGCACTATTTGAGCAATAGTGAAAATCAGACCTGAAAAAAATTTCAGGCCTGTACGGGATTCGAACCACTGACCTCTGCGATACTAGTGCAGCGCTCTACCAATTGAGCTAACAAGCCAACTGGGAGCAGGCCATCAAATTAATTCGATATAAACCCGTAGATGATAAATCAAACAACAACAAACATATGAAACATATGTGTGAACTGCGGTTATGAGACGTATATGAGAACGATCCTTCGCAGTAAAGCACTATTTGAGCAATAGTGAAAATCAGACCTGAAAAAAATTTCAGGCCTGTACGGGATTCGAACCACTGACCTCTGCGATACTAGTGCAGCGCTCTACCAATTGAGCTAACAAGCCAACTGGGAGCAGGCCATCAAATTAATTCGATATAAACCCGTAGATGATAAATCAAACAACAACAAACATATGAAACATATGTGTGAACTGCGGTTATGAGACGTATATGAGAACGATCCTTCGCAGTAAAGCACTATTTGAGCAATAGTGAAAATCAGACCTGAAAAAAATTTCAGGCCTGTACGGGATTCGAACCACTGACCTCTGCGATACTAGTGCAGCGCTCTACCAATTGAGCTAACAAGCCAACTGGGAGCAGGCCATCAAATTAATTCGATATAAACCCGTAGATGATAAATCAAACAACAACAAACATATGAAACATATGTGTGAACTGCGGTTATGAGACGTATATGAGAACGATCCTTCGCAGTAAAGCACTATTTGAGCAATAGTGAAAATCAGACCTGAAAAAAATTTCAGGCCTGTACGGGATTCGAACCACTGACCTCTGCGATACTAGTGCAGCGCTCTACCAATTGAGCTAACAAGCCAACTGGGAGCAGGCCATCAAATTAATTCGATATAAACCCGTAGATGATAAATCAAACAACAACAAACATATGAAACATATGTGTGAACTGCGGTTATGAGACGTATATGAGAACGATCCTTCGCAGTAAAGCACTATTTGAGCAATAGTGAAAATCAGACCTGAAAAAAATTTCAGGCCTGTACGGGATTCGAACCACTGACCTCTGCGATACTAGTGCAGCGCTCTACCAATTGAGCTAACAAGCCAACTGGGAGCAGGCCATCAAATTAATTCGATATAAACCCGTAGATGATAAATCAAACAACAACAAACATATGAAACATATGTGTGAACTGCGGTTATGAGACGTATATGAGAACGATCCTTCGCAGTAAAGCACTATTTGAGCAATAGTGAAAATCAGACCTGAAAAAAATTTCAGGCCTGTACGGGATTCGAACCACTGACCTCTGCGATACTAGTGCAGCGCTCTACCAATTGAGCTAACAAGCCAACTGGGAGCAGGCCATCAAATTAATTCGATATAAACCCGTAGATGATAAATCAAACAACAACAAACATATGAAACATATGTGTGAACTGCGGTTATGAGACGTATATGAGAACGATCCTTCGCAGTAAAGCACTATTTGAGCAATAGTGAAAATCAGACCTGAAAAAAATTTCAGGCCTGTACGGGATTCGAACCACTGACCTCTGCGATACTAGTGCAGCGCTCTACCAATTGAGCTAACAAGCCAACTGGGAGCAGGCCATCAAATTAATTCGATATAAACCCGTAGATGATAAATCAAACAACAACAAACATATGAAACATATGTGTGAACTGCGGTTATGAGACGTATATGAGAACGATCCTTCGCAGTAAAGCACTATTTGAGCAATAGTGAAAATCAGACCTGAAAAAAATTTCAGGCCTGTACGGGATTCGAACCACTGACCTCTGCGATACTAGTGCAGCGCTCTACCAATTGAGCTAACAAGCCAACTGGGAGCAGGCCATCAAATTAATTCGATATAAACCCGTAGATGATAAATCGAACAACAACAAACATATGAAACATATGAGTGAACTGCGGTTATGAGACGTATATAAGAACGATCCTTCGCAGTAAAGCACTATTTGAGCAATAGTGGAAATCAGACCTGAAAAAAATTTCAGGCCTGTACGGGATTCGAACCACTGACCTCTGCGATACTAGTGCAGCGCTCTACCAATTGAGCTAACAAGCCAACTGGGAGCAGGCCATCAAATTAATTCGATATAAACCCGTAGATGATAAATC